CGAGCCCACCACCACCACTAGCAGCAGGTACTCCTTGAAGAAGTCCACCAGCCCGTCCAGCACTCCCGGGGCGGAGCTGTTGGTCACGGTGGTTCCCCCCGCGTCTCCCACCGTGGGGCTGATCCGGGGGGTCACCGGGGGGGCGGGTGGTGTGGCCGACGCCTCATCCCCGTCCCCGCTGCCCCCCGTGTCCGGCAGCATCAGGGGGTGCCGGGGGGCTGCCGAGTGTGCCGGGGCCGCCAGCAGCGCCAGCAGCAGCAGCCACATCGCCGACCCCATTCCCGGGATCGTGCACAGGGACCTGTGGGATGCAGAGGGGAGGGTGGAACATTAACACCCCACAGAGCAAGCCCCCCAAACCCTGCCCCAGGCCAGCCCCCACCCCAAACCCCCCAGCACGGGGGACTCCGACACTTGCTATTCCACCTGCCTGAATTTGCTCGTGGAAATCAAAAGGCAGCTCCGGTTTTCTTGCCCTGCCAGAGCGAGGGGCTCTGTTTGTTTGCCGAGGGTGCAGAGCAAGCCCAGCTGGAAGGAGCTGAGTGGGATTGCTCAAGGCTGGGGGGCTGGGGCTGCTGCCAGCGACCGGCCCCAGACAACGGTCATTGGGCTGATTAGAAAATTCCTGAAAAATGGAGGTTTGCAGTGGAAACTTTGACACGGGCAACGCTGCAACGGGGCCGGGCGGCATTTCCCAACCGTCCGTCCCGGACCGTTACACACCATTCCCAGCTAAAAATAGGCTGGGGCAGGATTTCACCCTGGACCCGCCACCACAGCTGAGTGGAGCTGGGATTGGACCCCCCAGAGCCTGTACCGGGGGCAGCCCCGAGCTGGGACACAGTGAACGGGGTCCTGGGGGTCCCGGCTGCCTGAATGTCCCCAGGGAAGGGGGAAGGCCAGCCAGGTCTCGCACACGGGTCTGTCCCACGATGTGCTATAGGACACGGGGTACGCTTTTCCCATCCCAAAGGAATGGCCCCTCAGGGGGTTTGGGAAAGGGATGGGACCGTCCCCACCACGTCGCGACACATTCCCGAGGGACATCGGCGTGTGCCACGCCACGTAACACCATGGAGCCATTCCCAGGGCTCTCCCCCTCCACGGCTCCATGGGAAAGTCTCAGGAACCAGCCCCCTGACTCCATCAACAGGCAATCCCCCCCTCCAGCAATTCCTCCCAACCTCAGGCCCCCCAAACCTCAAACCGCCTCCCATTTTCCCCAAACAAACCCAGCCCAGCAGTGCTGCTGGCCGGGAGGGATCCAGCAGCAGGACTTGGCTTCCAGACCCCTTCCTGGCCACGCAATCTGGTTTCCATTAAACCAGAGCAAACAAACGGCAGCAGAGGCAGGAGGTGGCCCTGGACTCCCAGCCCTCCTGGCTCACACAGGCATCAGTGCTGGGCTCGGAGCAGCAACCAGCACCAGGAGAATGAAGGTTTTTGGGTAGCTGGAATGAGCCCCTTCATCCTCCCCCTTCACTGCAGAGAGGGGCCCCTCGGCAGGGAGAGGGGTCCCGGGATGGGGACGGCATCAGTTCCCCGGCAGCAAACGGAGCTGAGGAGCAGCCACAGCCATGGAGAGGCTGAGTGGAGCCCAAAGCAGCCCCAAGAGCAGGGCCTGGCACTGTGGCCACCGCCAGCCCTCCATCCCCATTCCAACCCCATCACAGCCCACCCTCACCCACCCAGATCCACAGAATGTTCCCGGCTCCAGTTCTGCTTCCCTCTGCTTCCAAAAGCCTCCAGAAATGCAGGATTTTGGTGTTGTCTGGGCACAGCACCCTCTGACTCCTGCCTGGGAACACGGCCATGTGGCCAACACCATCCTGTGTCCCGCCGTGGGGACCATGCCCAGCCCTCACAGCAGCACCCGTGCTCTTGGGGTTGCCTGTGCCCCCCTGGGAGCCCCCCCCAAAATTAGGGACAGCATGGCACAGCCGTGGGATCCTCACCTCGCCTGCAGCTGCCGCGTCGGCAGAAGGGAGCCAGGAACGCGGGGTCTGTCCCACACGCCTCGAGCCCCTTTCTGCTGCTGCTGGGATGGAGCCTCCTCCTTCTCCCTCTTCTCCTCCTCCTCCTTCTTCTCCTCCTCCTCCTCCTGCGTCGCAGCCCAGGACCAGCTTGTTCTCATTAGGGCCGGGATGGGGAGGGGGTGTGGGAGGCTGGGGAAGGGCAGGCAGCCCCCAGCCCCCTCCCAGACGAAATCCAGCTGGGGCTGGGGGGTGTTTCCTGATTTCTTCCCCTGTCAGCAAAAGTCAGGAGCTCTGGTGCTCACCATCACCACTGGAAGGGGCCACTTTTTGGGGTGCAAGTGGGGAAGGGGATCACACAGAGGGACTGTGCAAAGATGTTTTTATCCACAAGGGGGTGGGTAAGGCCCCATATGAGGGTCTGAGGAGGGCAGACAAGGATGAGGGCTTGGTGCCCTGGCATTACTGGGGGCTGGCAGTGGGGCAAACAGGGCTTGGGATCCCTTGTGTAATTTCAGGAGATCATTTCCTAAACAACCCAGCCTGGAAATGCTCTGACACTGGCATCTCTGCTTTGGGGTGAAGGCAGGAACACAAGCAGGGACCCAGGCAGGGGGTCCCCGTGGTTCCCCAGACCAACGTGGATGCTCCTCAGCTCCCCAGGATGTGGTTTCCAGTTTGGGGGTCTGGGGGCATCGCTTGGGCCCCCCCATCCCCCGGCGCTCTACCTCCCCCCACCCTGGTCCCTCGGCCCGGGCTTAAGTTGCTCAAGAGGCCGCAGCCGCTGCGTGACCTCATCCTGTTGCTATTTTCCTCTGCTCTTCCCTGGGGACCAGCCAGACCCCCCAGAAAGCCCCCGCCAGCGTCCGGGGACCGCGACGCCCTTTGGGGCCGAGGGAGTCTGCCCCCACGTCCCGAGGGATCTGGCGCCGTTTGGGGTCCTGCCGCCGGCGCGGCTCCCGAAATAAAGGGTCGGTCCGTCCGGCTGGCTGCAGCCGCGGCTCTGAGCAGCTGCTGGGGCGGCTGTTCCCGGCCTTAAGTGCTCAGTGATGAAATCTTAGAGGGGAAGGGGGAAAGGCGAGGGGGGCGGCGGTGGGTGGGGAGGGGGGCAACCCCGTCTGAGAGACGTTCCAGAGGCATCCGGGCTCGCTCCTACAGCCCGGATGGGGATAGGGCTGAGATTCCCCATCCCATGAGCCCAGCGATGCCGGCGTTGGGCTGAGTCTCCTTGCTCAGGATCCCTATCCCATTCTACCCTTGGTCCACATCTCCCCTCATCTAGGGTCCCCACCTTTCCTTGCCCAAGGTTCCCATGCCTCTTTGTCCCAGGTCCCCATCCCACCCTGCTCAGGGTCTCTATCCCTCCTTGTCCAGGGTTCCCGTTCCTCCTCGCCCAGGACCCCCCCTCCCTCCCCCGCCCAGTGTCCCCCCCTCCCCGCCGGGATCCCCTCCCTGGCCGGGCGGTCCCGGTGCCAGCGCCCACGGGCCATTACGATGCCGTTTTTGCCTGCGGCGGGCGCGGGCTCTGCCCCTCGGAGCTGGGCAGGGCCGGGACCGCCCGACCCGCCGTGTAATTTGGGGCCGCTGGAACGCGGGCCCGCGCAGGGCTCAGCTCGGCGGCACCGCCCGCCCGGGGAACCGGCAATTTGAGGGATTCCGGCTCCTCTCTGCTTCTAATTTACCTCCCGGGGCTGCGCTTTGCTGTGCCAGCAAAATACCCCGAGGGGACCCATCCTGCGGAGCTGCACGTGGTGTGTGGAGCCCTGTGCCACCCTCCACCCCGTGTCACCCACAGCCCGGTGCCACCCACGGCCCCGCGCCACCCACCACAGGCTGCCCGAGGATCGCTGAGGATCCTGCTGTGACACCGCCGCGGCTTCTCGCGGATTCCTGTGCCGTGAGCTGGGCGGTGGCAGCCCCACAGGACCTCCTGACGATTCCAAATAGGGCGATTCCCGGCTCCTGGCAGCTCCAGCGGTGGAGGAAAGTTTATCCTCGCTGGGCTTCTGCTCCAGAGTGGCCGGTGCAGTGCTGAGAGAGCAGGAGCAACCCCTCCAACCTATGCCCACCCACCTCCTCGGGACACAACGGCCTCATCCTCACCTGGAGTGGGGGCTGGATGAGCCACTGAGGGGTGGAGATGGATGATGGGAACATCCCTGTGCCTCCTGTGGATGTTCTGCCTGGCAGGGGCCTGGTACCCAGCTCTATGGGGACACAGTGGGTCAGAGCAGGGTGCCATCACCACACACAAGGTGTCCCACCTGTCCCATCAGGGGACCAGCCCTGGCCAGTGGCTGTGGGTCCCTCACCCGGCTGACTCACCCATAAACATTTACATTCCCAGAGGGATCGGGGCCGTGCAGCTGCCAGGAGCCAGATGGAAAATATCCCAAGCACAGTGTGAATGTAAACAGGCAGTGGGGCTGGGGGGCAGGTGGGACACTGTGCTGGAAGACCCCCAGATGGACATCCCAGAGGGGCCTTTGAGGAGGCTGCGAACTTGGGGATGTGGTGATGGGGATATAGGGATGGGATGTGGGGTAGGGATGTGGGGATGGGAATGCTGAATCTGTCAGTGCTGGGATAGGGATGGAGGGATGGGAATATTGAGCCTGGCCATGGCAGGAATGGGGATGTGGGAATGAGGATACTGAGCCCAGGTGGAAGAGGGATGGGAAGATGGGAACACTGAACCTGGCAGGACAGGGACATTCTCGGGCCACTTCTGCTCCTTTGGTGGCTCCCTCACCACTGGGAGCAGTGGGGAGGCCAGTTGGTGTCCCGAGGGGAGACTGACACATGCACAAGGAAGGAGGTGAGACCTGGGAGCAAACCTGAGCCCCCTGCAGCCCCGGTGGGACCCTCGTTGGCTGCTCATGGCTTTGCTCTCCCCATCCCTCCCATTCCCAGTCCCGGGCAGGCAGGGCCAGGCAGGGCCAGCGCCGCTGGACGAGGCCGAGACCCTGGGGTGCTCCGGCAGCGACAGCAGCACCTGACCGGCAGCCACAGCCCCGAGCCGTCGCTGCAGCGACCGCAGGCAGGAACACGTTGTGCCGCGAGCGCTCCCGTCCCGTCCCTTCCCTTCCCCCCCAGTATTTCCGCCCCAGCCCCGCCGCCCCCGCAGCGCCCACGAGGCCGAGCCCCCCGGGGAGGGGTCCCGGGGGCTGCGGTCCCAAAGCCCCCTGGTCTGGCCCCAGCCCGAAGACGGGTGGCCGCGGGTTTCGTTTCTGCTCCTCCGGGGGGCTGCGGGGGGAGGATGGAGAAGCGAAATTTCGACAGCGGGATGTGGGCAGGCGGCGAGGCGAGGAGGGGGCTGGGGCTGGCGGGGGCTGTCCCTGCTAGTGAGAGACCACCACGTCCGGGTAACACTTTAATGGGGTCAGCCTCGAGCGCTGAGCTCGCTGCGGGGGAAGCACCTCCATCATGCCGGTCCAAGAGAAAACACGAACCCGAGGGGACGGGGGTCCCCTGCCTGTGGCTCGCCTGGGGATCAGGCACAGGCCCCTAGCACTGCCGCCGGCCCCCCAGCACTGTGGGATGCAGGATCCATGCCGGGGTTCAGGAGTGCTCCGGCAGGAAGCTGCTGAGAGTCAGGTTGTCCCCGTCGGGCTCGGCGCTGCCGTCGTGCAGCCGCTTGTGCCGCCGGGCGGGGACAGGCCGGGGCTCCGCGGCCGCCTCGGCGTCGGCCAGGAGGGACGAGATACAAACCATCTCGGTGCGGCTGAGCCGGCGGTGCCCCGTCCTCGCCCGCCGCCACAGCAGCGCCCCCAGCACCCCCGTGCTCACCAGGAAGGTGGCGGCCACCAGCCCCAGCAGTAGGATGGCCAGGAGGCACTTGCCCATCACCCCACTGGGGTCCCAGGGCACCGCGGTGGCCGTCGGTGTCGTGTCCCCAGGGGCCGAACGGGTGGGTGCAGGGGGAGCTCCGGCTTTCTTGACTTTCCTGTACCCCGTAGTGGTGGGGCCGAGGGCTGAGGGGGCTGTTGAGGGTGGCCCTGTGGAGGACGTGCTGTCCGTGCCACCAGACACTGTCCCCTCCTTGCCAGGCGGCGTGAACCAGCTGGGGGTGGTGCTGATGCTCCTTTGGGGAGCTGCCGATGTGCCGGGCTCCAGCAGCAGGTCGGGATCAGGGGAATCAGTCTCATCCCCGAGATCGGCTGTGGCTGGCACTGTGAGTGCCCGGTTCAGGCTGGCAGTGGTGCTGGGAGACATCGATGCAGAGCTCAGCAGCAGATCGGGATCGGGGGAGTCGGTCTCATCCATGGGATCAGCTGTGGTTGACACTGTGAGTGCCCGGAGCAGGCTGGCTTCGGTGCTGGGCACTGCTGGTGATGGCGCAGAGCTCAGCAGCAGGTCAGGATCAGGGGAATCGGTCTCGTCCACGGGATCGGCTGTGGTTGGCACCCGGAGCAGGCTGGCGTTGGTGCTGGGTGCTGGTGGTGCAGAGCTCAGCAGCAGGTCGGGATCAGGGGAATCGGTCTCATCCACGGGATCGGCTGTGGTTGGCACTCGGAGCAGGCTGGCGTTGGTGCCGGGTGCTGGTGGTGCCACAGAGCCCCCCTCGGGCTGGTCACTGCTGATCAGCGCGGTGGCAGCGTGGCTGTGCCCCGGTGTGGCTGTGGTGGCACCGGGGTCCTGCCCGCCATCGTCCCTCTTCCCGCGGGAGAGGGGCAGCGCCCGCCCCGCCGCCCCCCAGAGCCACTGCCCGCTCCGAGGCTGCCCCGGCCCCGGCTCCAGCCCAGCCCCGCACACTCGCGGGGGGCTCAGCACCAGCACCACCAGCAGCACCAGCACAGCCCGGCCCGGCACCATCGGGACCTGCAGGGGACAGAGCGGGCAGGTGACATCGGGGTTCCGCTCCCGCGGGAGGATGCTGAGCCCTGAACTGCCCCGAGGTGGGATCGCACTCCAGCCAAGGATCCTCCTCCCCTCCTGGAGAGGGGCCCTTGTGTTTGGGGAGCCGGAGGATGTGTCCACCAACTCCTCCTGCCGCTGCCCACCGTGGGGATCTCAGCCCCGGCGGCTCCGCTCCAGGGGAAAGTTTTGATAAGGAAGTTGAGTGTCTGGAAATGGGAAATTAACCTTGATGGAGGCGGCTGCTGCGGGACGGGCAGTTGCGGGATGAGTCTCCACGTGGAAATGAAACCACAGGGATCTCGCCCACGTTTCGACAGACCCGCCACCCCAGGGTGCCTTCCCCTCTGCCCGCCGGGCTGGCACAGGGCTCCAGGGCTGAGGCCACCGTGTCCCTGTGCCTCCGTGATGGAGCAGGAGAGTCAAACCCACCTCAAACCCACCCCAAAGCCCCCCAAGATTCCCTTGCCATTCCATGTCCATGACCAATAGCCCCCTGTGGCACCTCCGGTGGGTGGAGGCCACCGCGGTCCCTGTGGCTCCACACCCAACAACATCCAGACATCCTCACATGGATCAACGCTCCGAGCATCCCCGGGAGGCTTCCACATCCCCAAAGTGCCCATCTGCATCCCCAAAACCCCAGGGACCAGCCCTGAGCGCGGCGCCCTCAGGGACCCCGAGCACTCCTTTTGCACCCACAGCATCCCCAGGGCCGAGCCCCAGCCCAGCACCTCCCCGGTGGGGCTCACCTGTGCCGGGGGACACGGCGGGATCCGAAGCTGCAGCGGTGACGGGATCCACCGGCGAGGGCCCGGCACGGGGGGCGAGGGCAGCCCTGGCACCGGCACCCTCGGGGCGTCGTGGGCCACCCTCGCCTGCACCTCCCGGGCGGGGAAGGGAAGGAGCGCGGAAGGGCGGCTGCGGTTTCGGAGAGCGGCGGGGGAAGGACGTCACTGAGAGTGGGGCTGCGGGCACCCACCACTGGGGAGGGCGGCAGGGGGTGGGCTGCGCCCCAAAGAGGCGCCTCGAACCCTCGCCGTGTCCCCGGTGCCCAGTGGGAGCCCCCGGCCCGGCCCCACCGGCGGCTCCGAGGAGCTGCTGCGTCGGGGCTCGTGTCACCCTGAAAGCAGAAGTGACACAAACCTGGTGCCAGGGCTGCAACCCCTTGGGCACCGTGTGGGCACGGCTCGGGAGGGGGTCATGGTGCCCTGAGAAGGGACATGAGGGTAGCCTAACACTGGGAAATGCCTTTGCACACGAGGAGGAGAGTGAGGGCCCGATGATGCTTTGCAGAGCCCTTCTACTCAGCACCATGCCCAGGATGCCCTGAGGGGCTCTCAGGCGGCTGCGGGGGCTGTTGGGTGTTGTCCCGGCCTCGTGGCATCGGCACGACAGGAAACCCCCACCCCGAGCGCGGGCACCGGGCGGGAGGCGCGGCCGCAGCCGCAGGAAGGTGCTGCAAGAGAACATCCGCAGGAACGGGCTCGGGGTGTCAACAACCCTCCCCCCCGAAACCCGGGGGCTGGGTCACCCCGGCTCTTCTCGAAATCGTCTGTCCAAGGGGCTGGGGGAGGGAAGAAAAGGGGTTCAGGTCTGAGGGATGAGCATCCCTTGGGATGGATCCATGGTGCTTCTCCCAGAGCATCCCTGCCCTGCTCGGGGTGGGGTGGGAGTGTCGGGGTGTTCCGGAGGCAGCTGGAGGTGGTTGTGCAACACCCAGTGAAACGCTGCACACCCGGAAAGGCTCAAACCTAGGCAGGATGAGTGATGCTTTTTCCAGCCCAGACCCTCCACCATTCCAGGCCTCCAGCCCTGTGGAAGCAGATTTCAGCTCGGGAAGAGCAGGGCATTCCCTCCCAGGGCTGTTCCTTCCACATATCAGCCCGGTCTCAGCCACACTGAGCAGCCCCCCCCAGCCTGTCTGTGCCATCACATCCCACATCAAGCCAAGCTCTTGGGATCACTCACTGGGAATCACCATGTGTGACCTCAGGGATGGGCCCTGGGACAAGAGCAGGGGGTCCCAACGGACCCCTCAGCCCCAACCCCCTTCTCAGGTGTCCAACATTTCATATCCGGGCTACTGATCAAACCTGGAATGCCAAGGGCAGGCAGAGGGCACCCAGAGCCAAAGAAAAAGCAAAGCAGAGGCAGTTTATAATCAATGACTTTTTTATCTTTTGAAAATGGAAGCAATATTTGGACAGATACTCCGGCGCTCTATAAGAGCGCGTCTCTCCGGACTGGGCTGGTTCTCTCCTGGGATATCACGGCTACAAAAAGCTTCAGGCACTGACTCCGGTTGAGCCTGGCGAGGCATCAGTTCATTTAAATAAAATACAGGCTAAGAACTAAAATCCAGGGCGGCCTCTGGGACCGTCTCCCACACCCCCCAACCTCTGGGCATCTCAATCCAGCGGCTCCCAAAACTGATTTCCTTCCGATTTTAGGAACAAACCCGAGGTCCCCAAGCACACAACCCCGAAGTCACACGTACAAATCAACACAGAAATCACCACTTTGGGGGGTAATGACCTTCGGGTTTGGTTTCCAAAAAAAAAAAAAAATTCATAAAAATACACATCTCAGGCATTTACTGCAATACAGAAACGTCACCAAACAGCCAAAGAACCCGGAGCGGCCGGATTGTGGATCCACAGGCGCAGGGCAGGGGATGGCACTTGTCCCTAAACCACAGAAACCCCACTTTTCTGAAGCTTTCATGCTCTGCAATCCTCCCACATCCTCCATCTCCTCCGTCCCGTCCTCGTGCCTCTCCAGCTACATGACCCGGCCGTTCCCACGGCGCGGTCCCACCTCCACACACACACACATCCCTCCACAACAGGGAATCCTTAACCTGGAAGTTCTGGACATGCAAACTCTGGGAAAAATGGAAAAATCGGAGAATTACTAGCTAAACTAATGGAAAAAAAAAAAAAATCAATCACTTCAGCCTGGCCGAAGGGACACGTGTCCCGCCGGGATGCTCCGAGCAGGGGACGTGGGGCAGGGGCTCCCACGCGCACGTCACACACACATGGAGCTGCCACGGGCACAGAGTCCAGCTGGGAGAGGGATCCAGAGCTCCTGGACAACTGGTGGTCTTTGCCCACCTTCAGATTTCAGATGGGCTGTCACCACTCCCCGGCTGTGCCGGGATGGGCGGCACTGATCCAGCCTGGCACAGCTCGTGGGGGGATCCTGGATCCCATTCCCAGCACAAGGACATGGCCTAGGAGCAGGGAGCCAGCCTGCCCCATCCCTGACAGCCCCCTCACAGGGGAGACCCCACCTGAGCAGAGCTTTGCTGAATCGAGGCATCCATGGAATTCCAGGAGGAGCTCGCCAGCCCGGAGTGCTCATGGGGTCTCTCCCCAAAGGAACGTGTGAGAAACCAGTTCTCCAAACTGGGATAAAACCACCCTTCCCAGTCCCTTCCACTCAGAAGGGGTGCAGGGAGGCTGGGGTTGGAAGTCACTCATCTGATTCGGGAACAAATCCTTTCCTGCAAAGCTTTCCAGCAATGCGGGGTGGGAGGCAGGAATGATGGAGGAGAAAACAAATTATAAAAAAATAACGACAGAGGCATTTTTTCTGGGGAGAATCATCATGGAAAAGTCACCTTCTTGCTGCTAACACTGCCTTGGAAGCAGAGGAAATTCCAAACATCAGCACTGGTGTGAGAGGCTGACCGGGATTCCAAAAGCTCCTTAAAATCCATGAGCTGAGGAGTGTGGGAAGCAGAACAAGGATTTACAGCAACCACAGAGCTGAGATGGGCACCACAGAATTCCACCATCTGCTGGAATCCCACAGCTCACCTGAAACTTCTTCCTGGAAAAAAACATTCCTGCATGGAAGTAACTTCTGCCTACCAATTGAAATAAATCAGCAAGTAAAACATGTGAGTTTGGTAATGGAATGAAACCTTGGGATTATTTTAAAATGGGAACATGGTGCTGGGTTAAAAGTTCTGAAAGAATAAAAATAAAAAGGATTTTGTGGGATGAATCCCTTCTTTCAGATCTATATATTTATATTTTTCTGTCAGACAACAGGGCTGGGAGCAGGAAGGGCAGCTCATCCCATCTCCCAGGGGTCTCAGCAGGGAAGGGAACCCACCTGATTGTTCCAAATTGAGGATTTATACAAAATAGCTTCAGCTTTGTTCTCTGCACAGTGTAAACACCCACTACACACCCCCTGTCCCTTGGAATGGAAACACAAATACTGCAAAGTGGTAAATAAGAAAAATAAAAAGCGGTTCTTTTTCTATTTTTTGGCAACTTCCAAAAAAAAAAAAAAAACGGTTAAGAACAATGTGGCATTGGTCCCTAAATCTAGAAAAAGGTATTTGGGCACGACATCAAAAGTCAGAATGGATTTGTTTTTCAAGGATTCATCATAACATCTGAAAAAAAAAAAAGACCTGTAAAAGTAGCACTTATTGTTTTTGACTTGGTTTGACACAGTCACAGAACATCAGGAAACGAAAAAATCTTTCACTAAAAAGCTTGGCTTGGAATCATTGGCTCTCGTTGACGTGGGTTTAGGAGAACAGGAAAGCTCGGGCTGGAATGCTGCAGGCTGCTGCTGGCTGCACTGGGAGCTGGGATGTGCCTGGGCCGGGGCCCCTCAGTCCCCGATCTTTGCCATCTGCTGCTCCAGCTTGGAGATGCGCTCGTCCTGGGAGGAGATCGTGTCCTTGATGGATTTCAGCTCTTTCAAAATCTCGTCCAATTTGGCTTCGTTTTGCTGCAAGGCAAGGCAGGGCACGTGTGAGGAGAGCTCTGCAGTTTTCCAAGGAAAGGGCTCCTCCCAATGGGATTCTCTGAGGGATGAGGGTGTAACGTCCTCTCTGGAGCAGCTGGGATGCTCTGACACTGCTCCAGCTATTCCCTCTGGTCCTGTCCCTGCTCTGACACTGCTCCAGCTATTCCCTCTGGTCCTGT